ACGCACAATCCAGCTTTGTACTATCTTGTACTCGTACAAACTACATTTTTTTTAAATCGAATTTGATATGCAAATAATATTGGAAGGGCTGAATTTCTGTCGCCAAAACCCAGAGTTAGCACAAAATAAAACTGAAATTCTATAAGTTCAGTACCTGCAATAATTTTGGGCAGAAAGGGCAGATTTTTTAACAGCCTTCGCAACTGTGACAAAAACTGTTCTGTACAAGATAGTACTCAACTGGAGACATGGGACACAGGGAAAATAATTTTGTAAAAATATAATTATTTGTTCACAACTGCAAGAACTGAGAGTACAACGAAGTTAACCACAACACATGTACATAAGTAAAAAAATACAGGTTAAAATGTAGAAAGTAGCAATACCCATAGTCAAGGGGATAAAAATATGATGTTAATTATTGGAAACAAGACAAAAGGAAAGGATAAAAGCAACAATTATAGTTGGCAATTGGGGAAAGGAAAATGAAATATTTTATATATGTACATTAAAAAATTTGTTTTTGGGTATGTTGAACTTTAAAAAATCTCAATCTGCGTATGACCCCCCGCCTTAATGACATAACCCTTATTATTTTATTAACAAAGATGAAATAGCCAGTAATAAACAAATGTTGCATTCTATTTTCTTTTTCATTCCTGTACACATTTCAACTTCCAATAATCATCATAAACAACCATGACCGAATCACATCATTTTTACGGATCATGAACAACAATAATTTCTTCTAAGGCATTTTTACGACAATTACTCCAAAGGAAGAAAACCATCTACTAACCATTTGAATAATTGTCAAAAACACTGAAGAAAAAAGGAGTAGATATTGTAGCACCAACGGATAAGTAAAGTGTCGGATGAGAAAGACCCCCAGTGAAGGGCTCGCTAATTTACTTACTACAAAACGACCACTACAAAAAGAGAGACACACACACACACACCATAAACATAATTTGTTGAGCAATAAACATTCGAACTGCACATTGTAACACGCCCGTTACCCATTGTAATTTGAACGTTCTACTTACATACAGAGCTATACAATCACCGTAAGCAACAATTTGAGGGTAAGAATGTAAAAAGAAAAAAAAAGTGAATAAACAATGGTATTTTTTCTCTGATTACAAGCAGTGTCAGACTCGTATAACTAGGCACATTTTACCAACACTTTTTTAAAAGCAGAATGCAGCAACTACTTCCAAGTCTGGAAATATATAGCCACATAAAACCGAAAGAAATCAAATAATCGATGTTGAGTTTTATGCAAACACACCAGACAATCTGTAATTATTTTGTACAATGAAAAGATGAACTTTACCAATTCACTGCAAAATATCGTACTGTTGTAGACCGTAACGGTAAATCCTATACGGTTATAGACCGTAGCTGTCGATCTTATAAATGTCTAATATTTTCATACAATTTTGTCCACGATTGTTATCTTGGCCATTTTTGTCAACTAAGTACATCATCTAAAGTGTGCTCTCATTGACAACCGCACCTTATTTGCTAGAAATTGTAGATGTTACCAATCGGAGGAGACACCATTAGCTTGATATGTAAACCTATGTCGTAGAGAAGACAAAGGCTCGCGATGAGGACACGGTGATCGTTTCACTACGCTCTCTGGAGAAAACCCACGACGTACACCGTTTTTTGGACAGTAACAGTTACGTTGATGATGTTGCATCCGTAAATGTGGCGGTGATGATGATGTGCTTCGGTCACGTATTTTATGACTACTATTACTACTAGTACTACTACACGTGCATTTGCTCTCCTTGCGTAGCGGGGAGGATTTCCACTGTCTGACGATCGTATTTACATGTTCTTGTGACGCCAGCCAGGGAGTTTTCTGAGCGGGGTGTTGTTGTTTATCGATGCTATGCGATGATGATACAGTACACGATGGGGAATTGCGGGTTTTATCGGTGACGTCGTTGACGACACGTGAATGGAGTTTGCAAAGTGAACTATTATTCTTCAGACCAACGGTATCACCTTGCTTAACGATATGAGATTCTGGGAAAACTTTTTCACGGAAGTTTGGGGAGTGCATATCGGTATCATGTATAGTGCTATCAGTATTACTAGCGTATTTGCCATGAACAATACCAGTGTTTTTACAACTCGACTTTTTAGAAGAGAGTACATGACCTGTGTTGGAAACACTGGCTGGTGCATTTATGTTCTGCTTATGTCTGGAATTCTTTTCTCTGTCATGTATTAGAAAACTATGGTGTTCCCCATGCTGACCTTCGCATGTGACCTTGGGGTGTACCCACTGTCTTGATTTACTAGTCTTTGGGCTGGACGCTGCACAAGGAAGGGGGTGAAAGTTTGACCACTGGGTGTTGCTATTATTAGGAATAGGTCCTACGTGGGAGGCACTGTTATTCCTAAAGGAAGAACTTGCTATATTGGGGGTCGAAACGCTTTTTCTTATTCGGCCTAGACTGCTTTCGTGATGGTGAAAGATCCTTCCACTGTCCTTAGACGGTGGTGAAGGCCCAAGGTTATCTGGATCACTACCAAATGAGGACGAAAGTTTTCTGAAAGCATTATCACGACTGTCTCTGTCAGTGTTGTGGTCTGTGTCAGAATGCCGATGAAGTGTGTGGAGAGAGGAACACAGTGAGCGAGATCTCGATAAAGATTTAAAAATGCTTTCTTTCGAAATGTCAAGGTCATCCAGGAGATGTTGGGACTGCGTCCAGTCGAGGTTAGCCTCTACTTCCGGCATGAGCACGCACATGAAAAGTTTCTTAGCAACCGTGTCCACGGGATAGATGATCTGAGAGGGGAAGTGCCGGCCCTCAGTGACGTAGTCCACGAGCTCTTTGTAGACGAGAGGGAACTGGTGACGTAGACTGACGCCACGGAGACGCAGCTGCCTCTGGACGTTGATGAAGCTCAGCTGTCGCTTCCGGTGGTCCCTGTCGTCGCTTCTGCTGCCTGCAATGCCGGTTAGGATGAGCGTGGGACCGTATCGACCTGCAGTTCGTCTTTGTGACTCCTCTGACGCCAACAAATGTTCGCTGGGAAAGCCGTTGCTACTGTAGCTGTTGTCATGGCGACACGAACTTGGTGAGCAAGGACTTTGGTCGACATTGTAGCTGTTTTTGGTACTGTTGATGCTGTTGTCCTTGTAGCTGCTGTTGTTTTGGTGGCTACAGTTGGTGTTTGGGTAAACGCTGTTGTTGCCAGGCTGACGAAAGTGAATTGGCGACGAACGAAGCCTAAGCTTGATGCACTTTTGTATTATGGGTCCCTTGTGGCGTAAGATGCAGTCGCTGAAATCTTGGTAAGAGAAGCCGCCACCACCACCATCAATACCACTGCCACCACTTTGACCTGATGTGACTGGTGGAAGGGAACTAGAAGTGTCTACAGCGTGACAAACACTGGCGTTCAAGCTACTGTAACCACCGTCACTCCCTATACTCCCGGAGCGAGAACGACTTTTATTGCGGCTCGGTTTTCGAGTAAGACTACCGCCGTAGCCGCTGTCCAGCGTACCGTACAGACCCGGGCTGTCCTGGTTCCCCGTTGAACAGAACGTTCTGTTCCACCGAGCGCCTATGCCGACGTTTAACACGAATTTATTTTGGGGGTCGTACTGTTGGCACATAGCAGTAAGTCTGCTGTAGACATCCCCGAACATTTTACTGACGTTCAACTCGGCGAGAGTTACGAAAATTGGGTTCAGCTCCAACACACCCAGTCCAAACTCCAAGAAATCTTCGGCTGAGGACAGATCTGGAAAACCTAATAACACGCAGCCCCTGCCACTTGTGAGATAGCCTCGTCTAGCCAGTCTGGTCAACGTGTCGCGTATTTCTTCGTCTGAATTACACGCTTTGATGACACGCTTGCACGCACTATTAACTCGACTCCCGTGGCAGTACGTCGACTTATGTCTCCCCCAGTCTTCCTTCCGGCAAGATTTGCTACAATAATACGCCGAAGGACAGTTATGACAATTTTTAAAATAATGCCTTGCAACGTCCAGTGTTCTAGCTTTTCCACACAACGGATTGGAACACCTTATGATTGTACTCTGAATATCTACTACATCATCACAACTCCTTCCCGATTTTCCTCTCGGAGACTCTTTGTCAAATGAAAACTCATCAACAAAAACTTCTGAAAACTCTTCGGTGGACTCATTCGGCCAAAAACTGCTGCTTGCATTTGAAGCACTCCCTACTCTAGATGAACACACTGATGTGAAATTACTGCTGCCTTCAAAGTGCCCACTATCAATTCTTGATAAATTACCGTGCATGTCATTTTTTGTCGGGTTACTACCCTGACTAAAGTCATCTCCTACTCCTTTGATGCTGTCTTCCTCCATCTGGAAGCTAAAAAGCCCTGGTTCTTCGTGCCTGGGTCTAGAAGCGTCTCCAGGCTGCTCTAGGTACAGCTGTAATCTGGAGAGTTCAGAAGATTTGCTTTCGGGCTTTCCCTGGTTTGGCGCGACAAAGTCCAAGTCAGTTTCTTCAAAAGAGAACGCATGGTGATCATCATTAACATATCCAGAATCCGTCATGCCTTGTGAGCGATCTACACATCCCACGCTTGTTTCAACACTCCGGCTATCTTCCACTCCTTCGTTCTTGTACTCGTTCAGTCTGTCTCTCAAATGTTGCTCAGCAGCCGTTTTCAAGTCCTCTAGTACCTCCTCGATACTGACAGTTTCCAGACTTTTCGTGTTGACGCCGTCGTCATGGTGAACTGTGACGTCATTCCAGAGGAGCACCATTTCGCCATTGATGTTGCTCGCGAGCGGGTCTGCCCGAGCTTTAGCGAACGAAGAACGACCAGACTCTAGCACAGGGTAGGTGTAGTGGGTGCAGTAGGAAGATGGCCCATCTCGGTGTTTGGGTGATTCCAAAAGAGAATCAACCCCATCTACATCACTTTCTTCAGAACTGGTGTTTGGTTTGCAGATGTGTCCTGAACTGGTTCCCCTGACACCC